TTATTGCATACAGAACTGATCACAACTTTTTCTAAAGAAAAATTATCACAACCTTCAGTAGAGTTTTCAATTAATAATTTCTATGCATAATCTCTTAAGCCATTTTCTTTTTATCATTCGATTTACAATTTAACAAAAACGAGTATCACATTTATTTTTCAAAAATGTTGCTGATATTTTTATTTGTTATAATTTATTCGTTAAAAGTTCATTGAATCCTCTTTATATTTAACTGCGTATCATTAACAGAAAAATGAACATTCCCTTTGTTTGGCTCCAAATATTGGCATTTTTTTTTCAAACACATGCACAGATGCCGTACATTTTATTATGACGTCACAATACTCTCGCATTTCAGCAATCATTAAATAAATATTTCAAAAAAATCTAAAAACATTTTGAGATTATTTCAAAGAATTATTTTCTTTTCAATAAAATTTGAATGAATGAAAATAAACATATTATAGTAGCGAAATAAAAGACTTTATTGGAATATTTTTTTTTGTTTTTTTTGTCTTAATGGGGTAAATTTTTGTTGTTGGAAAAGTAGAAGTTATTTTTACATTTTTGCCTATTAAATTAAATGGAATTTCGTTTATTTAAAAAGCTAAATATTTGTTAAAGGTGTTTTAACAGGGGAATTCCTCGATAAAATAAATATTAAACAATTACAAAAATATTTAAAAATGCTTTTGATCTTCCGGGGCGCTAAATTTTAAACCAAATAGCAAGTCCAAACCATAAATCTGTCGAAATTCAAAACTAATTTTTTCATAAAATATTTCTTTAAAATATCTTTTAATAAAAACTTGTTCTCATTCCCATTCTAGGCCTCACCTAATATTGTTATTGCCTTGGCTGGTAATAAAGCGGATTTATCAAATATACGTGTTGTAGAATATGAAGAAGCTAAACAATATGCCGAAGAAAATGGTTTGTTATTTATGGAAACATCAGCAAAAACTGGCATGAACGTTAACGATATTTTCTTAGCTATTGGTAAGTAACATCTTTTATAATTGTCTTAATATTGTTTTTTAATAATTTTTAAAAATTTTCCATTTTTAGCTAAGAAATTACCTAAAAACGATGGAGCCAATAATCAAGGTGCTGGTGCTGGTAGAAGACTAAATGAAAATGAAAATAACCGACAGACGAACAATTGCTGCAAGTGATGTCTTTTTGTAGGTTAGTATAAAAGAAACTGGATAGAATCTAAGCTCTTTTTCCTCTAGAGAATTGTTCAGAATTTAAGCAATTTTTCCAGTAGAAAATTGTTCAAAATCTGAGCAACTCTTTCTATAGAAAATTAAACGGAATCTGAGCAACTTTTTCTATAGAAAAATGTGCAGAATCTGAGAAACTTTTTCTATACTAAATTGTTCAGAATCTGAGCAAAGATTTCTATAGATAATTTGTCGGAAACTGAGGAACGTTTTCTATAGAAACTAGTTTAAAACTTTTTCTATAGAAAATTGTTCAGAATCTGAGCAACATTTTCTATAGAAAATTGTTCAGTATCTGAGCAACTTTTTCTATAGAAAATTGTTCAGAATCTGAGCAACTTTTTCTATAGAAAATTGTTCAGAATCTGAGCAACTTTTTCTATAGAAAATTGTTCAGAATCTGAGCAACTTTTTCTATAGAAAATTGTTCAGAATCTGAGCAACTTTTTCTATAGAAAATTGTTCAGAATCTGAGCAACTTTTTCTATAGAAAACTGTTCAGAATCTGAGCAACTTTTTCTATAGAAAGTTGTTCAAAATGTTGTTGAATTCTGAGCAACTTTTTCAATAAAAAAGTTGTCGGCTACTGAGCAAGTTTTTCAATTAAAAATTGAATATTTTTTTAATAAAATTTTAATATTTTTTTTTTAAATTTTCTCTTCTTTTTTTCAGAAAATAAAATTTCCAACGAGAGATTTGAAAAATTTATTATTATGCTGATAATTATAAATAAACAAATATTTAAAATTTAAATTTAATTAAAACAAAAAAACAAAATCCATTTAAACAAAAATTATGATGAAATGTGAAAACGATTTAAACAGAAAAAAAGAAACAACAACAACAGCAGAGAAAAACTACAACAACAACCCTTATATAAAAATAAATCAACAAAAACGATAATAATATTTAATTATAAATTAAACAAAAAAATCAACAACAACAACTACAACAACACATTATGAGTAAAAACAAAAGAAAAAAAAACATTATGATAAAAATACATAACTTTAATAGAAAATAAAGTCACATTACAACAAAAAAAGAAAAAAAGTCTAAACAATTTTCAAAAATTCCACTTATTTTCCATTGATTTCTTTCTCGTTGATAATTTTAAATTTACAGCAAATTTTCTAGTTTTACTTTCAGCTTTTTTGGTTTATTTTTTTTACTACTACTATTATGATTATTATTATTATTTGCAATAATATATACATAAAATATATATTTAGTATTTGGGACGGTTTGTTTATTTGTTTTATTTTTAATTTTTTTCTTCATTTTCTTGCATGTACGTTTTTTTTAAAGTAAAGTAAAAGAAATGAAAGAGAAATAATATTTATAACAAAAACCTAAAAGAAAACGAAAACTTTATACATTTTGTAGTTTTAATTTATTGTATTATCTATTATGCAATTAAAACCAAGAACAAATAACAAACAAAAATTTAAGAAATAATTAATATGATTGAAGAGCTATAATTCATAATTCCATAAATAGATAATTATTATGTTAACAATTTTATTAATTTAATACTATAACAACAACAACAACAATTTCCCCAAAATTATCCAAAGTCCATAAATGTTAATAAAAACTATATCGATAAAAAAGCCTTGTAAGAGTTATAAAAAAAATATATACAAATGGTATTTGAAATTAATGTTGTGTGAGCAGATAGATCAGAAGATTATAGCGAGTAGAAAGTTTATAGAAAAGCATATTTTAATATTTGAAAATAATTTATCACAAACGTTGTCAGAAGTTGAGGAAATTTTAATATAGAAAAGTTGTCTGAATTTTCACATTTATTTTAGTTTTTCTCCTAATAAAAGCCTTGTTTCAGGTTCAACATCCGTTTTAAGACTTTCAAATAAAACATGGATGTTTAAGGGAAATTCGTTGTTATCACAGATTATCACTAGAAAATTGTTCAGAATCTGAGTAACTTTTCTTATAAAAAATTGTAAAGAATCTGAGCAACTTTTCCTATAGAAAATTGTTCAGAATCTAAGCAACTTTTACTATAAAAAATTGCTCAGAATCTGAGAAATTTGTCCTATAGAAATAGTTCAGAATGTGAGCAACTTCCCGTATAAATAATGCTTCTGAATCTGAACAACTTTTTCTATAAAAAATGGTTCAGAATCTGAGCAACTTTTCCTAAAGAAATTGTTCAGAATCTGAGCAACTCTTCGTACAAAAAATGGTTCTGAATCTGAACAACTTTTCCTATAGAAAATTGTTCGGAAGTTGAGCAACTTTTCCTATAGAAAATTGTTCAGAAACTGAGCAACTTTTCCTATAGAAAATTGTTCAGAAACTGAGCAACTTTTCCTATACAAAATTGTTCAGAAACTGAGCAACTTTTCCTATAGAAAATTGTTCAGAAACTGAGCAACTTTTCTTATAGAAATAGTTCAGAATGTGAGCAACTTCCCGTATAAATAATGCTTCTGAATCTGAACAACTTTTTCTATAAAAAATTTTTCAGAATCTGAGCAACTTTTCCTATAGAAATTGCTCAGAATCTGAGCAACTTTTTCTATAGAAATTGTTCAGAATCTGAGCAACTTTTTCTTTAGATAATGGTTCAGAATCTGAGCAACTTTTCCTATAGAAAATTTTTCAGAATCTAAGCAACTTTTACTATAAAAAATTGCTCAGAATCTGAGCAACTTGTCCTATAGAAATAGTTCAGAATGTGAGCAACTTCCCGTATAAATAATGCTTCTGAATCTGAACAACTTTTTCTATAAAAAATGGTTCAGAATCTGAGCAACTTTTCCTATAGAAATTGTTCAGAATCTGAGCAACTTTTCCTATAGAAAATTGTTAAGAATCTGAGCAACTTTTTCTTTAGATAATGGTTCAGAATCTGAGCAACTTTTCCTATAACTTTTCCTATAGTAAATTGTTCAGAATTTGAGTAACTTTTCCTATAGAAAGTTGTTCATCTGAGCAACTTTTTCTATTTGAAATAGCTGCGAATCTGAGCAACTTTTCCTACAGAAAATTGTTCAGAACCTGAGCAACTTTTCCTATAGAAAATTGTTCAGAATATGAGCAACTTTTCCTTTAGAAAATTGTTCAGAATATGAGCAACTTTTCCTATAGAAAATTATTCAGAATATGAGCAAATTTTCCTATTGAAAATTGTTCAGAATCTGAGCAATTTTTCGTACAGAAAATTGTTCGGAATCTGAGCAACTTTTTCTATAGAAAATTGTTCACAATCTGAACAACTTTTTCTATAGAAAATTGTTAAGAATCTTAGCAACTTTTTCCATAGAAAATTGTTAAGAATCTTAGCAACTTTTCATATAGAAAATTGTTAAGAATCTTAGCAACTTTTCATATAGAAAATTGTTCAGAATCAGAGCAACTTTTCCTATAGAAAATTGTTCAGGTTTGAGCAACTTTTCCTATAAAAATTTCTTCAAAATATAAGAAACGTTTTCTGTAGAAAAGTGATCAAAATATAAGAAACTTTATCTGTAGATAGGTGATCAGAATCTGAGCAAAAATTGTTCAGAAACTGAAAAACTTTTCCTATAGAAAATTTTTCAGAATTAAAGTAACTTTTTCTACAGAAAATTATTTAGAATATGAGCAACTTTTCCTTTACAATTTGAGCAACTTTTTCAGTGGAAAACTGAACTGTGAAACTTTTGCTCTAGAAAACTGATCATAATCTGGGCAACTTTCCCTTAGAGAGTTCATCGCCATTTTGTCTTTCTCTAAAATAATAAAACAAATAGTTTTTTGTTTTTGTTTTTTAATTATTTTTATTTAAAATAATATAACTAAGTTGCCTTTACATAAAATCATAAATCGTTTGGTTTCAATATTTTGTTTTAAATTTTTCAATATTATAAATATAATTTTTATTATTAAATATTTAATTTCATTACATTATTATTATTATTTAAGATGTTTGTTTTTATACACCATTTCTAAGTTGTCTTTTTAACACAATGTTTTTGGGGGGTTTTGAAAAGTTTTTTTTTTAGTTAATTTTTGACAGTTTTGAGTTTAAAAACTTTAAGTTGAAGGTGAGCTGATGAGTTTTTACAGTTACTGTAGAGAATTTTTATTGAAAATTAAGGAAAATAGATTATTTTTTTTTAAATGTGGTGTTTGGTTGTAAAATTTACAATGTTTTTTTAGAGTCATGCTAAAATTATATGTTTTATGCCGAATTTTTTTTTTATATGAAAATGCAAAACTGGATGATTTTGAAATTTGTTTCGTTTTTTATTCAATATTTTTTTTTTTGTTTTTGGTTTTTCAATAATTTTTGTTTTGTATAAGTATTTGTCAATTTAATTTATTATATATTTGTAATATTTATGGGTTTTTTAGTTTTGAATTTGTTTTTTTTACTTTTAGTGTTAATTTAAATTTTATTAGGGAATAGTAGAGATTTCCTTTTTTGCAAATAATTAGGGAGTATTTTTTTTTATTTAGAAAATTATAGGCAAATTATATTTTTTATGAAAAGTATATATATTTTTTGTGTATTTATCTACAGCTACAAGGCAACTAAATGGCTTAGAATTAATAAAATTGTTTAATTAGTTAAAAAGGAAAGGATTAAGCGGGAAAATGGAATACACGGAGAGAAAATTGCAGAAATATTTGAAAATTTGGCGGCAATCAAAAAGAAAAGTAATTAATTTTTAAACTCAATAAATATGAAAATATAATCATGCAGATGAGCAATAGGAAATATCTGGGGTATTAACCCTAAGAATAACAAATGTCTAGCAAAGCCCATGTATGATGAAAATCTTTACGAATGTATGTCCATCGAAGGACATTTGAAAGAATCCTGTTTTAATATTATTTCAAAATGTTTAAAGGTTTTATGTTTCTCTCTGTGTATATAGTAGAAGAAATTAAAAACTAATTTTTTTAACTAAAATTCAAAACAAATTGGCAGATTTTTTGGGGCAGTTTAATATTAGAGTATTAGATAGAATAGAAAGTTGGTTTTGTAATAACATAATATTTTGTTTTAACAAAATTTTAACAATTAAATAAAAAATAACAAAAGTTTATAATAATAAATACATTTTTTATTTTAGATTTTTTTTTAAAAGTTTTTCAATGAACACAAATAAATTTGAGTTTAAGAAAATTTAGTTTCTTTTTATTTCCATTTAAATAATTTTTCACATTAAAGTATATTTTTTTTAATTAATTTATTATTAGTTGTTATTATCACTTAGTTATTAATTTCCTAAAATTTGGTTTGTTTTCTTTTTATAATAATTTATGAAAAAATTTTTATTAATGTAAAATTTTTATATTTTTGTTGTTGTCCATTATTTTCAGCACTTTTTTTATTTCACTAATTTTAACTTTCAAGAACAGTTTAAACTAAATTTTTATTATTATTAATTTTTATTTAAAATTTTTTATCATTTCTTTTTTTTTTGAAAGATTATTACAAACATAATTTTTAGTTTATAGTTTTCTTTTTCAAACCAAATAGATTTTTTTAATATAAAATTTACAAAATTATTTTTTCTTAACTTTTTCCTCTTCGTTTTTTTTTTTCAATATTTTATTTAATCTTGTTTTGTTACTCTATATTTAGTAATGTTTTCTTTCTTATTTTGTTTATTTGTATAATATTTAAATATGTTTTTTTTTTTTTCTTTGTTTTTTCTATCATATTTTGTTTCGTTTTGTTTCAAATCCTACACTAAAATGGGCTCGTCACCGTGTAAATCACAGGAGCCAATATTTTCACCTTGATATGTTGAGAAATCTTTAATCAACGCATTCGGTTCAGCTCCAAATTGTATGTCCTGTAGACATCCTTTGAACGGTTGTTCATATCGTCCCTGGGTACGTTTGCTAACCGATTCCATGTTAGGAAAACCACCTGTAATGGGAAGAAAATATTATTATTTTGAATTCTTTCAATAGAATAAGTTATAGAAATTTTTAGAAATTTCCAAACAATTTTCGAGAAATTTTCTTTGTAGAGAATTATTCACAACTACTCTGTATATCGATTACGTTTCCGCATTCAGTTACGCTACGAACGAAAATATGTATTCCAAGAAAAAAACTGAATCGTAAGAAAAGAAGAGAAGCAACCATTTCATTTCGAAGCGGGGAAATTTCGATTTGAATTGAAATGCAAAATAGGGGTGATTGTGGTGGAACACTAACTACACTAACTAACTAACGAACGAACGAACGAACGAACGAACGAAACGAACGAACGAACGAAACGAACGAAGACGAACGAACGAACGAACGAACGAACGAACGAACGAAAACGAACGAACGAAACGAACGAACGAACGAAAACGAACGAACGAACGAACGAACGAACGAAAACGAACGAACGAACGAACGAACGAGAAGAACGAACGAACGAACGAACGAAAACGAACGAACGAAAACGAACGAACGAAACGAACGAACGAAAAACGAACGAACGAACGAACGACGAACGAACGAACGAACGAACGAACGACGAACGAACGAACGAACGAAAACGAACGAACGAACGAACGAAAACGAAAACGAACGAACGAACGAACGAACGAACGAAAACGAACGAACGAACGAAACGAACGAAAACGAACGAACGAACGAACGAACGAACGAACGAACGAACGAACGAACGAACGAAGAACGAACGAACGAACGAAACGAACGAACGAACGAACGAACGAACGAACGAACGAACGAACGAACGAACGAACGAACGAACGAACGAAACGAACGAACGAACGAGAACGAACGAACGAAACGAACGAACGAACGAACGAACGAACGAACGAACGAACGAACGAACGAACGAACGAAAGAACGAAAACGAACGAACGAACGAACGAACAAACGAACGAACGAACGAACGAACGAACGAAACGAACAACGAACGAACGAACGAACGAACAACGAACGAACGAACGAGAACGAACGAACGAACGAACGAACAACGAACGAACGAAACGAACGAACGAACGAACTAACGAACGAACGAACGAACGAACGAACTAACGAACAACGAACGAACGAACTAACGAAACGAACGAACGAAAGAACGAACGAACGAACGAACGAACGAACGAACGAACGAACGAACGAACGAAGAACGAACGAACGAACGAACAACGAAACGAAGAAAGAACGAACAAAACGAACGAACGAACGAACGAACGAACGAACGAACGAACGAAACGAACGAACGAACGAACAACGAACGAACGAACGAACGAACTAACTAAAAACTAACTAACTAACGAACGAACTAACTAACTAACGAAAACGAACGAACGAAACTAACGAACTAACTAACTAACTAACTAACTAACTAAACTAAAACTAACTAACTAACTAACTAACTAACTAACTAACTAACTAACTAACTAACTAACTAACTAACTAACTAACTAACTAACTAACTAACTAACTAGAAACTTTTTCCATAATTTTTCTTCATAAACATTTTTGTATAATTTTTTTCTTTATAGAAAATTTTCGAAAAATTTTGTTTTTTACAAGGAATTTTTGATAAATTATCTTTATAAAAAGTTGATAAAATTTTATAAAAAAATTTTCGAGAAAGTTTTTTTTTATAAAAAATTTTTGAGAAAATTTTTTCTTTAAAAAAATTTTAGAGAAATTTTTTTCTTTAAAAAAAAATTTCGAGAAATTATTTTCTTTAACAACGAATTTTCTTCTTTATAGAAAATTTTCGATATTTTTTCCTGTTGATATTAAGTTCTTTCAAACATTTTTAGGAAATAGGAAATTTTTAGATAAATTTGCATCCTAATAGGAAATCGTCCTTAAATTGGCATTCTTGTAGAAGATTTTCAACAAATTTTCTGCTTTATATAGAAAATTTGCGATAAATTTTCTATTTTATTTATTTTGATTTAAAATCGAAATTGTTTTCGGGAAATTCTTATTAAAGATTTTATATAAATTTTCTCTTTTCTAGGAAATTTTCGACAAATATTCTTCTGTATGAAAAAACTGTCAAAATACACCATTTGTCCAGCATTTACCATTTTCCTACACCATTAAGCAAAGACCTCCACCTTAAAAACAATTATTACACTAAATAACGAAATTTCACCACTCTCTAGAAAAAATCAACAACACTTACAAATACACCACTTGAAATTAAACAACAACACATCTCTACTAGTTAAGTCAATCAAAAATATCAACAATGGTTTAAGTCATTAGTAGAAAAACAGGTTAAATACAAAAACAAACATACATACATACACGCATACACAAATGCCGTTAAGTAGAACTGTCAAATTGGTGAGAAAACACTACAAACAGCTGTTTTAAAGCAGTATTAAATACGCACGCTAATTCGACGGTCGGGTTTTAAACATAAATCGTGTAAAAAATTGTTAGAAAATTAGAAAAAAATAAGAAATAAATAAAAAGGAACATGAAATAAAAGATATAAGTCAAGGCATATGGAAATAAGTGTTTAAGTGCAAAGTGTCGTAAGAATTAAAATACAAATATTAAGAAAAAAAAAAGAGAATGTGTCTTGTTGATCATACAACCATAACAAAATATTAAGTTGAAAAATAAAACAAATCACACAACAACAACAACAATAAAACAAACAAAAACCACAACAGGTAAGTTCAACTTTAGTACAATGAAAGTTTAAGAAGATGAAAAGTGGAAAAAACGAGAATAAATGACTGACGGGCAGCCAGAGAATGTCCAGACAGTCAGCTAAAGAGTTTGGCAGAGTTTGTTGAACAGCTGAATATAATGTGATTATTAAACTCATGGAAGCTTTATATTAAAGTATTCGTAATAATAACAGAACAATTTGCAGAAAACTAAACTAAATTGTAGAAACAAGAATTGAAGTAAGAAGCAGTTGAAGAAACATTTTGTAACAGCAATAAGAATAACAATTATAATGTTAATAACCATTATAAAATAATTTAGTCATGCCGCTTTATAAACAAAAATTGCTTATGGATTAGTGTTGCCAGCTGTAGCTATTACGCGGGTGAACAAGTGTACGGGGGATTTGGGAGTTATTTCTAAATAGTTTAAGATTTGTTAATACACAATGCTAAAGTGAAAAGAACACTTCTCTTATAACATGGTTACGTTTTCAAATTTGAACATTAAGGTCCTCTGCAGATAATGCATTTATCCTAACTCCATTTGTATTCTGTATTTATGGAACTAAATTGTTAAACGATTTTGATTGATTCGATTGAGGTAGATGTTGCAATACGAACAAGTAAGAGTGTTATATTCGGCTATGCTGAATCTTATATACCCACCATCAAACCTCGTTTGACTCGAATGAAACTTATGTCGAATTTCATCTATATACTCATATTTTTAGGCCAGTTATAAGCGTTAAAGTAATTTTCTGAAGGGGACCTTATATAGGGGGGTAGGGTCAATTATGGGTCGATCCTCATAAAATTTGGTAGACAGAATTTGGTTCGTATTAAATTTATTTGTGTCGAATTTCATCGCTACACTCGTATTTTTAAACCATTAATGAGCGTTGCAGTCATTTTCTGGAGGGGACCTTATATGGGGGGTAGGGTCAATCATGGACCGATCAACATAAAATTTTTTAGATAGATTTTGACTCATATGAAACTTACTTATGTCGAATTTCATCTATATACTAGTATTTTTAAGCCAGTAATGAGCGTTAAAGTCATTTTCTGAAGGGGACCTTATATGGGGGGTAGGGTCAATTATGGACCGATCCTCATAAAATTTTGCATAGTGATTTTGGATCACAAAAAACTTACTTATGTCGAATTTCATCGCTATATTCGTATTTTTAAACAAGTTATGGCTGTTAAAGCTGCTTTTCGAGGGGCCACTTGTATGGGGGCTATCCGATAACGTGGACCGATATTGCCCATTTTCAATACCAAACAAACCTTACCTATAAGAAATATTTATGTGAAATTTCAACCCTCTAGATCTTTCCATTCGGACACTATCGTGCTTTCAACAGACAGACGGACGGACAGACATGGCTAGATCGTCTTAGAATTTAATGAGGACCCAGAATAAGAAGGAAAATCCCTACAAATATTCATAATGATTGGTTCTTAATTGTTTCTACTCCCATATTATAAAGTTCTATGGTTCCAATGAGGATTGTTGTTTTTGAGTTTTGCTTAATATTCCTTCAGCTATGTCCGCTTCGTGATTTTTTTTTTTTTTTTGAAAAGTTGCCGTCTCCATATGTATATGCAATAGGCGACGTTATCATGGGAAAGTAGAAGGCAGTTTTTGCTAAGTGCATGACCTAACCCTTTCAATTTGTAAATGAGTATTTCCATTCCTATTGGTCGTTGATATATCCTGATTCAAAGCTTTGCACTTGATATTACTGTTGGCGAGAATATTGGCAAAATCCTGTGTTAGCGGTGGTAGACAAAACCTGTACAGGTTGTAAATCCAATGGCAATACGTTATACGTCGCACTGATAGTGGAACTAAACCCTCCCCCTAATCATAATTTCGCAGGAACTCGTGATCCATGGTAATCTTATTACCTGAGTGCCCTCTAGTAGATCTTACAAATGATCAAAATCTTGTACAGACTCTCAAGGAATTCATCAGGCGCTGAATTATAAAATACATGACAAAATAAGCTTTCCTATAGAATCCATTTCAATATTACTCGATTCCGATTATAAAATACATGATAAAATATGCTTTCCTATAGAGTCCTGTTCAATATTACTCGATTCCGATAAGTTTACCTCTTGAAAGTGCTACACTGAAAATATGTATGCAAAAGCATTGAACAAGATTTGTAGATAATTCTGCAGTCGTTGAATGTATCCTGAAAGTTGCTCTTCAAGGACGATCACCTTTCAGGAATGAAGAATAATTCTGGCCCACTTAAGATTGTAGTAAAGTAGCGCGCTCAATGCCTATCGATTCCAATAGATATAGCGCTTGTAGAGAAGGTCCTATTGGTACTCTCAATTAGATCATTTTAAAGTAATAATTGAACAATATTTGAACAATTTCATCTGAAAGTTAGAACTTTAAAGATGATCACCTACGAGAAAACAATAACAATTCTGTCCCACTTGATATCGTAATTGATATAGAGCTTATAGAGAGGTTCTAAATGATAATCTCGATCAAAATATTTTTCTTCATATAAAAACAAGTAAGAAATTATAGTCGGGCGAGGCCGACCAGTTATGAATATTAAATGTGATTTATTTTTCATAATATTCAATATTCCCTTGTTCCGATACATTTAAGCAATTTATGGATGAAAAACTAATTTTCTGAAAGAGGCTTTATATGGGGGCTAGGGGCAAATATGGACCAAGCCCGATAAAATTTTGTGAATATATTTATATTTACATAATATTTGATTGTGCTGAATTTCATCGCGATATTTGTGTTTATAAGTTAATTTGGGACATTCAAGTAATTTTCTGAAGGGGACTTTGTACGGCATCTAGGGTCAAATGTGGCCCGATCTTTATGAAATTTGGCAGGGTCATCAAAACTTCTATAAAACTTAGTTGTACCGTATCTTATCGATATATCTGTATATTTAACATAATTATGAGCTCAGAAGCCCTTTTCGGGGGGTTCTGTTGTATGGGGGCTAGGTGAAATAATGGACCGATTTTAACCATTTTCAATAGGCTTCGTCCTTGAGTCAAATAAAACGTGCATGCCAAATTTCATCCAATTATCTTGAAAATTGCGACCTGTACCTTGCGCACAAGGTTTACATGGACAGCCAGCCAGCCAGACGGACGGACGGACGGACATAGCTTAATCGACTCAGAAAACGATTCTAAGCCGATTGGTATACTTTAAGGTGGGTCTAGGACGAATATTTTTGTATGTTACAAACATCAGCACAAATCCAATATACCCTCCCCACTAAAGTGGTGTAGGGTATAAACATGAGTGAGGATCACCAATATCGTATGAAATGTAGAAGAGGTCCATGAATAGCATTATGGTTCCTTGAACAATTTTAAATGATTTACGTTTGTTATTGATCAAGTGGATAGGGGCTATAGGATTGGAATTGTATCTGTACATCAGAAATGTAGTTGAAAATAATTGAATACTTCCATTTTAATTTCAAATATTTTGGGAACTTGAGCTTAAATTTATATGGCTACACCAATGTTTGCCCTTCTATTTACGCCCCCCCCCCCCCTCTCTCTCTCACCATCTTTCTTCTAACTATTACGTACTTTTTATTTTATCTCATTAAATATTATTTTCGTTTTGGATGTGAAGTTTCTTTTTAAGCTTGACTTAAACAAAAATTGTTTACAAAGACTGTGTTTTTTTGTTTTGCTGCTAAAGAACGTCTAGAGATATACAGAATATCTGAAGTAATAGAAGTAGCGGAGAAGACATAAAGAGAGATATAAAACACACACAAAAAAAAAAAGAAGAATTTGAAATAAGCAAAGCGTAACGTTAAGACAAACATATTCAAGCATTAACAAATAACCAACCACAAATACCACATTGAAAACAAGTACAATGGTTAAGTGAGTTTTGGTAACTGGGAACTTATAAGGGAGCTACTTGAAAATAAGTGGAAAACAGAGCTGGTAGGCAGGAAAATAATTTCGTAGTTAATTTTAAGTCGTCTACCATTGGAGACATGGGAGACTATATGGCAACGTTATTACCGAGATATGATGACAAATCATCAAAAAATTAATCCAAAATTTGGCATGGAGGAGCTATACCAAGATTAATTGGAACAAGAAAGGTGAAAGGTTTCAATAGGGAAGGATTTTACGGATCCTGTTCTTTTTATTTTAAAAATTTAGTGAACCTAAACACGATCCAGTGGCCTCCGGTAGGTTAGTGTTCTAGTCTGGTGGACCGGAGGTGGTGGGTTCGATTCCCACCTGAGGCACTGGTTAAGGAGCGCACAACAGGCCCGATAGAGGCCTAGGTGTATTTCTTTGGATTTGATGTATATACATCCTCCTTTCAAACTAACTAACTAACTAAACACGATCCAAGTTAAGGCCTTTAACGATTACCCTTGGAAGATGGAGATTTGTTTGGAACTGGGAATGACCAGATTTATATAATGTAATGGGAAGGAACGTTCAAATTTCGCATTCAACGACTATTAGAGTTTCTTAACCTGGAAAGAATAATTCAAAGGAAGCTTGCGTAATAGGGACTGCCTTTATAAACATATCGTTTATTGCTAACGTTAGACCAAAGGCTTTGAAACTTATTTCTGGAATTCGTGAATTGAGTGCTCCCAAAACATACCGTTTCATTTGTAGGGTACACAAACAAACAAAAACAACACTAAAAAAGAATCATAAAAGTTCAAAGAAACAGTGCATCGCAAAGATACAACGTTAATGGTTCGGTGGTTTATTGTTGTTATTGTTTTTCTGTATTAGTTAGCTTCTTATTGTGGCTGCTGATGCCTGTTGATTCCAATGAATTTGTATGTCGTTTTGTAAAGTAGCCTGCCTCAGTTGGAGCGTCTGTCTGACTAAATGTGAAAATGTGAGAATATGGGAGAGTGATGTGTTAGAGTTCGCAAGTTAAAGTTGGTCAACATCTCAGCAACCAACAGGCAGTCAGCCACACAAAGCCAGTCATACAAAAGTTTTAAGACGAGACACATTAAAGCCGTAAGAAAAAAAAACCATCGAAAGAAAACACAATTAATGCCGGGTCGTTAAGATTACAATCTAATAATATTTTTTTCCTTATTATTAAATTTCAATTAAAAGAAAATAAGTTGTGAAATTAAATTAAAAAAAAAAATAACTTCGAATACAAGAAAATACGAAAAAAGTAAGAAATAAAGTGTAAATGTCATAAAGAAAATGGAAATCTTAGTAATAACTGTTATATTAAACAAAGGAAATCAATTAAAAAAGGAAGTGTCAAGTTAAAAAACATTAAATGTCTATTTGCCGCCATTTTCTGCAATGTCAACTTGTGTGAGATAATTTTAGAGTAATTAAAGTTTTACTACCACCAACTACCAACTGCAGTAACAGCTAACAACTGAAAATAACTACAATTAAAAGTAATTAATCAATTCCCTTTTTCATTTTCCACACATATTTTTTCGCATTGAAGTGTAATTTCTTTGTGTGACAACTTTCTAAAGTTGGTGCTGGGTATACAAGTTGAAAGAGTGTGAAAAAAGTCGTAGAAGTACCAAAAAATTTTGGTGTAAGACAAGTTAAATGTTAAAAAATATTCCAGTAATTATTAAAAGTTAAGTGGCTCGCAAAAGAATTCATTACAACTTTTGGTAAGTCCATGATGTTATATTTGTCTCACAGACAATTTTAAAATCCCGGTATAATTTTGGATTTGCAGAGAACATTTAATGTTATGAGAATATCTCATGATATTCTCGTAACAGACACATCGGACATCGTCTTTTTTTGCATTCCCTAACGGCCTCATTATGGTGGATTTTGAATGACTAAATGATTTAACCTCGTCTCTAAATAACTCGCATATTGATGTACAAACAGGTCGGATAATTAGTGCTTACGTGACTTGTTGGTCTTGTTGGTAACAGTCAGACCGAATATCCAATGTTTCACGTGCCTTGATGGATACAACGAAGAACATGGACTAAACGATTCACTTCCACATCTGAATTACACGAAGAACTATGTATTTTGTTATTCCTACTTCAAGTGTTTCAAAACTCAAGGCTTTATCGTACATCCCATAGGCATATGGATGGATAGACAGGTCCAAAAAGGTTCTACTCTGAAGGCTTTATGTTAGCATACAGACCCGATATCCAATGTTTCAAGTGCCTTGACAAGAGGAACATGGACTAAACGATTCACTCCCACCTCATAATTGCACGAAGAACTCTGTAATTTCTTATTCCTATTCCAAGTGTTTCAAAACTCATGACTTTATCGTACTTTCAACAAGCACCTCATAATTGCACGAAGAACTCTGTAATTTCTTATTCCTATTCCAAGTTTTTCAAAACTCATGACTTTATCGTACTTTCAACAAGCAAACGGATGGATAGACAAACTTGTGCTAGAGGATATTTGAAAAAAGTTCTACTTTCATATCTGTATGGTAACAGATTGATGACCTAATATATTGTGGTCTTAACTACTTGGTGTTCAAAGTAATTCACTTCTCTGAATGACACAAAAAGCTCTGAAATCTTGTTCTAAGTGTTTCGGATCTCAAAGTTTTATTGTACTTTCATAAAGGATGGACATTTCCGACATTTCCCATTACTAACGTGTTTTCGTCTAATATATTCGTGATCTTATACACTGTATAGACTAAACGATCCATTTCCTTCTCTGACTTTTAAAACTGATGAACTTTTCTGTACGTAATACTAACACTTTGTTATAGATCTCAATCTAATCTCTTGCGTCCCAGCTCCAAGTGGCTCGGAGGCAATGACAATAATAGCCCTCATCGTAAACCCGGCGGATGCTCCTATTACACTTCTATTACTCAACTTTTTATTCGGATATTGTAATAATGCGATGATAATGATTCGAGGTGCTGAATAATCCAAAGATACACCCACTTATAAGCAGAACATGTTATTCTTCTTCAACCATAAGCACTATTCAGTCATATGGTTAAAAACACCCCTCGTTTTTGGGCCTCTGAAAAGTCACATCATTGTTCAGGAATAGTTATAATATCTTCCAGGGGATGACTTAAATTATTCTCTAAAATAATGGGGTTTGATGCAGCTTTGCCGATAAAGATTTTCCCGAAATGTACTACTAGCACATACATTGAGCATTTAGCCATAGGGTTCTATAAATCGACTTTCGAATAATCGAACCATCGACTTTTTGTCGAAAAGTCGAAGTCGACTATTTTGTTCCAAAAAAGTCGATAACTCGACTATCATCTGTGAAAAAAGTCGAAAAGTCGACTTTGTTAATAAAAGTCGAAAAGTCTGAAAGTCGAAAAAAGTCGATAAGTCGAAAAAAGTCGAAGAAAGTCGAAAAAAGTCGAAGAAAGTCGTAAAAAGTCGGAAAGTCGGAAAAAGTCGAAAAGTTGGTAAAAGTCGAAAAAAGTCGAAAAAAGTCGGAAAGTCGAAACAAGTCGAAAACTCGAAAATTGTAGAAACAAGTCAAAAATAGTCAAAAAAAGTCAAAAACTCTAAAATAGTCGGAAAAACTCGAAAAAAGTCAAAAAATAGTCGGAAAAAAGTAGAAAGAAGTCGAAAATAGTCAAAAAGTCGAAAAAATCGAAATGTCGGAAAAAGTCGAAAAAAGTCGGCAAAAGTCGAAAATTCGAAAAAAGTCGAAAAGTCGGAAAAAAGTCGAAAAGTCGGACTATTTATAAAATACTTATAGTCGAAAAGTCTAAAAGTCGACTTTTATTTAAATGAAAAAAGTCGAAAAATCGACTTTTCATAAAATGCAAAAAGTCGAAAAGTCGACTTTTAACTAAATGAAAAAAGTCGAAAAGTCGACTTTTCGTTTATTTAGCCAACTTTTCTTTCCGTTACTGGTGTTCAATTACAGTCACCATGTTATCCCCGAAGAAGTCTTCACTAATAACCAGAACTACATCTAACTAATTGTCCTTCAAACAACTACTTCTTGTATTACCAGAAAATCACTGCTTAGGCATGAGAAAAATCAAGTATCTTTATTCAGATATTTTAGTAATACCAAATAGTGCAATTTGATCCCTCGCCATCCCCATATAGAATTTTAGTAAGAAGTCAGTGCCTACATAACTCGTCGGGTCTATGAGCCAGAGTCAAGAATTAGACATCATGGAGCATCTAAAGTCTAAATGCATTCATTCAGATCAAATTCAGTCGGATTTATATAGTAGAGCTTCGAAACCTCTTCGGTCAGAGCCAACCTGTATCCGCAGATAATATAGTTTAATGGCACGCTGATAGAGTGGCCACATAACATGAACATTTCGTGAAATTGCACTGGAGAGTTTCTATTTCTAAAAACTACTGGAAATACAGGAAAAGGTGTTGTCAAATTAGAGTTCTTCACGGTCGGAATTTCTTTACATTTAAAGCTCTTAGCGAAAAAAAATTCCCAGAGGAAATCTTTTTTCTAACGATGTATCAAATCTAAGCTAACAACCTCTACTTCAACAACAATTAAATAATTTAATTCTTGCTACAATTGAAATAAAAAAACTACATTTACAATTTCGATTTTTCTTTTGTTCCTGATTTATTATATTACTCTTCTTTAGTTTAAAATTCTTCCATAGTCTCTGACTCTCTCCTCCTCAACAACTCCCATATTTAAAGTGTTCAGTGTCTCTGTTGGTTTGCCTGTCTGCCCTTTGGCGTTTACACTATGGCATTTTATGTTTTTCTTTTTTGTTTTTAAACAATTTAAATGTTCAATGCACATTACAGCTGTTGTTATTGTTGGTTACCAACAATTTTTATAACATGTGCAACAATTTGAAAGTATATGTAGCAGCAATAGACTGAACAACATACATACGACCGACCGACAACCATCAATGGTTTTATTAATGAATGAAGAAAAATAATAAACCAAGATGCCAGATGTTAATCAGAAAAGAGAGATAGAGAGAAAACATGTAAAAGAAAGAAAATGTGAAGATAAAAGTAAGAAATTTAAGTTTAAAGTTCAACTTAAAGTAAATCAGTGGCAAAAAGCATTTGCTTTGGATTAAAATTATCAGTGAGGAATTTTATTAAAGAAATAAAAATGGCTGGGGAAATTTTTGAACAAATTTGATTTTGAGAAAAAACAACAGTTTTCACTGACACTGTTTGGCTTCGGTGGTTTATTTACTTAAGGATCAGCTGTTTTTCTTATAGAAAATCAAACTTATCGTTAATTTTTTCTAAAACCAAAATTATCAATAAATTGTCTTTAGTAAATTTCTGTTATTCTAAAGAAACTAATGTTATCGATAACTTTTTTATATAAAATTTAAGTTATCGATAAATATTCTGGAGACAATTATAGTTATCGATAGCTGTTCTATATAAAACCAAAGTTTTTAAGTCTTTAAACTAAAATTTTCAACAAATTGTTTATAGAAAATTTAAGTTATCGATAACATTTTTATAAAAAATCAAAGTTATCGATAACTTTTCTATAGAATATTTAAGTTATCGATAGCTTTTCTATAGAAAATCAAAGTTATCGATGACTTTTCTCGTTCGATAAAATCAAAGTTATCAGTTTTTTTTTGGAAAAATTTTTAAGATATTGATAAATTTTCCTTTACTTACCCACATAGAAGATATCCTCATACGTAACCGTTGGCTCTTTACCCCTTCTCGTTACCAACGAATTTCTTCTGCTCGTTCGATACGGCGACTGTGTACTCGAACTCTGCTGCTGTTGCTGTTGCATTAACTCTTGTAATGCCAACTTTTCCGTAAATATCACTTCACCATCCAATTGCAATTCCAATTTGCCACGATCCACTATTACCTTAGCCATATGCCAACTGCCATCGGTAATGAAACCACTTGCCGGTGTTGCTACCGTATCATTGTCAGAACCCAATAAATTGCTGGCAATTTTAAGATGACCATTTTCCAAACCTAAACCTAAGAATTTCATACGATCATGTTCACTCCATATTAGCAAACCATCCGGTTCAATTGTTGAGAAATTCAATGAGATTTGTAAAGCTTCTCGTGGTCGTATGTACATAGAGGGACCTTTACGTTTGTCTTTCATGGGAATGCGTGGTGGTGGCAAGATCAAATAACTGTTGCCACGAAAACTTGGTGTTGTTGGTTTGCTCAATGCTGTCGTAACGTAACATAGAAGGTGGAAGAAAAACAGAAATATAAGGGAAAATGAATTACAAATTGTTATATGAATAAAATTGTAAAAAAGAGAAACTTGTTGTGTCTAGAAGAAATGAAGAATGTTGGTATTGTGTGTAGATCGGCTACATATTTAACCCTGATCTCATTATTTTGTAGTGTCGCAAAACTCTCAGACTTTTTTTATTATCATTGTTGTTATTCTATTAATTTGTTTACCAGAATTGTGGTTCTTATATTTTCGCACACTAACAATACACTTGTTTTTAATGTTTATTGAGTTGAGAGTTTTTAACAGAGATGGGTAGATAAATTTGATTTATCTTTCCCTTAATTAATTATAATTTTCAAAAGCAACTATTGTACCTTTAAAACGTTCGTTTCGAATTTTGTTAGTGTTCGTTAGTGGCCATAAAAGGTATATAAAATGTTTAACTGATTTTTTTTTGCTTTTAGTTTTTTTAAGGGTCACGCTGATATCTTTGGGATCTGGTACGTGCAGTCGATCCCAAGTAAATAAAATAATGCCAAATTGTGTTGTATTATTTTAGTTGTTTAACAATAAATTTTTTATAGTTAATTAAAGTTAACGATAAATGTTCGCCAAATTTTCCATAGAAAATTAAAGTTATCGATATATTTTTATACAAAATTGAAGTTATCGATAAATTTTCTATAAAAAATTAAGGTTATCGATAAATTTTTTATAGAAAATTACAGTTACCGATACATTTTCTATAGAAATTTTAGTTATCGGTAAATTTTTTATAAGAGACTAGAATTATGGTTCAATTTTCTATAGAAAATGAAAGTTAACGATACATTTTTTATTCAAAATAAAGTTATCGTTATATTTTCTCTAGATTATGTAAGTTATCGGTAATTATCGATACATTTTCTATAGAAAATTAAAGTTATCGATAAATTTTCTATAGAAAATTAAAGTTATCGATAAAATTTCTATAGAAAATTTAAGTTATCGATAAATTTTCTATAGAAAATTAAAGTTATCGATAAATTTTTTATAGAATATTGAAGATATCGATAAATTTTCTATAGAAAAATAAAGTTATCAATAAATTTTCTATAGAAAATTAATGTTATCGATAAATTTTCTTTTGAAAATTAAAGTTATCGATAAATTTTCTATAGTACATTAAAGTTATCGGTAAATTTTCTATAGAAAATTAAAGTTATCGATACATTTTCTATAGAAAATTAAAGTTATCGATACATTTTCTATAGAACATTAAAGTTATCGATACATTTTCTATAGAAAATAAAGTTATCGATAAATTTTCTATAGAAAATAAAGTTATCGATAAATTTTCTATAGAAAATAAAGTTATCGATAATATTTCTTTATAAAATTATAGTTATCGATAAAATTTCTTTAGAAAATTATAGTTATCGATGACTTTTTTATAAATTTTCTATAGAAAATAAAGTTATCGATAATATTTCTTTAGAAAATTATAGTTATCGATGACTTTTTTATAGAAAATTGAAGTTATCGATAAATTATCGCTAAATTTTCAATAGAAAATTAAAGTTATCGGTGAAATTTCTACAAGAGACTAGAGTTATTGATACATAATATTAAAGTTATCGATAATTATTCTTCATAAAATTAAAGTTATCGGTAAATTTTCTATAGAAAATTGAAGTTATAGAAAATTAAGTTATCGATAAATTTTCTATTAAAAATTAATGCTATCGATAAATTTTCTATTAAAAATTAAAGTTATCTATAAATTTTCTATGGAAAATTATAGTTATTGATACATTTTCAATTGGCACTTAAAGTTATCGCTAAATTTTCTATAAAAATTTAAGTTATCGATAAATTTTCCATTGAAAACTAAAGTTATCGATAATTTTTCATTACAAAAGTAAATTATCTATAGAACTTCTATTCAAAATTAAAGAAATCCTTTCTATTTTCTAAAAAGAATAAAACCTATCGATACATTTTTTCTAAATTACATGACGCCTTTCGTTGGGTCTTCTCTGTTTATGCCGATTTTAGTGTTTTTGTTTACATTTTGCTTTTTGTCTTCATTTACCTCTTTACATTTAATCTTTTTGCACTCGAACGTATTTTATGAAATTTTTATATGACTTCTTGAGAATCTCATGATTTTTTTTTTCAAATTATAACGTTTTCTTTAACTTTGTTGTTTTTTTAAACAAAAGTTTCAACAAAAGAACAATATGAAACCCGCTACCAAAAAGTAACAAAAACAGCAATATTATAATAATCAGCTGATGACTACAGTTAGCGCTTCACTTAATTCTTCGGTGTTGTTTATGTTTGGAAAATATTCAGCACTATTTGTCGACATGTTTTAGACAAGGTTGCCAGGTTTGTAAAAAATGAAAATAATAAAATTAAGAAATTTTCCTTTTAATTTGTTAAATTGTTTGTAATATAGAGAGTTTTTGCTAAAAAAATTAAGACTTCATTGGCAACCCTGTTTATGTTAGTTGTTTTCCTCATCTTCTTCAAATATTGCGTTTTTCTCACTTTGAATACTATTTGAAATTTAAAACTTGTTTATTATCTTTAGTTTGCATATTGTTTTTATAACGATTTTTAATGCTTCTCGTCATTATTTCTCCTAGTTTTACTTTACTTTTGGTTTTTGTTTTAGTTTCAACTCTAGTTTATTAATTTTTTTTTCAAGCTATGTATTTTTTTTGGTACATTTATGAAAATTAATTTAAAACGTTTTTTTTGTTAACAACTTTTGTTTTTTTTTGCATGTCTACTTTTGTATGATTTAATGCCAACTTTATAGCTTTTTTTTTGTTCATTTAAAATATTGTTTTGTACTTTTTTTTTACTTTTTAGTTTACTGCTCGTTTTGCTTAATTTAAAATTAAAAGCAGTTAAAAAAAAAGTTATAAACAACTGAAAAAAAAGTTAATAACTTTTTGTCATGTGATTAAATATTCATACATTTTTACTGGTACTTTTTTATTTTATTTTTTTTTTATAGATTGTAAATGATTAATAGATTTAAAATTTTACTTAATTATTGTTTAGCATTCAGTTATCAATAAGAGAATTCAAAGTTCAAAAATAGATGTAATAGTCAAACTATATATTGGGCTTAAAAGAAATGGAGACTGATACACGTTCTTGAACTTAGCAAGTGTTATTCTTTATCTGTGGACTATGCCCTAGATTAATCAATAGAATTAGTCAAACTACTAAAGACTGGTCTTTACACAATTTTTTACTCCATAGACTAGTCAGTAGTTTAGTGTATAGTCTATTGACTAGTTCTTAGGCTAGCCCAATGACTAGTTAATAAACTAAATTCTGGTCAATAGAATAGTGAAGAGACTAGTCCATAGGCCGGTTAGTAGAGTTATTCATAGACCAGTTCATGGTCTTGTCCATAGCCTATTGACTAGTCCTTAGGGTAGTCCCTAGACTAGTCAATACTATAGTTCATAGACTTGCCAATAGACTAGACCATATTGAAGTCAATAGACTAGTCCATAGTCAATTGACTTGACCATAGACTTGTCGATATTCCACATGATAGACAATATAAGCTAGTGGTCTAGACCATGGACTAGATAATAGATTAGTGTGTAGAATAGTCCTTTGACTAGTCAATATACTAGTCTGTAGACATCTCAATAGTTTAGTCCATAGACTAGTCAATATTCTAGTATATGAACTAGTCCATGTACTAGTCCATATACTAGTCTATAAACGAAAAGTAAATTAGTACTTTTAACCCTAAAAAGTACCCTCTCAGTTAGAAAAAAGTTAGAACTAGCAAAAATTGCAAATACTTGGTTCATCCTTGGTTCTATAGATTTGATGATTCTATTGACTTCCTTAATCTAAATTCTTGTGTTTTTCCACTTACCAATTTCACAATAGAAACCACCCCAACCATTGGGACACGAGCAACGACCACTTCTCAAGCAGCGACCATTATTTTTGCAAGGTATTAACTTGCAAGTTTCCGAATATTCACAGCGATCTCCCTTGGCATATTCTGGACAAATGCAATGAGGTTGTAACTTTTCATCTAACCAACAATGGCCACCAGCTTCACAGGAATCACCGCCGCAAGCAGTACCATCACAATCGCGAATATTGCGGGATTCTGAAATATATATATATAAATTTATCTCTGTAAAGATTTTTCCTCTTCAATCATTTCAACTCACCTATAATATTTGTTTCATTCAAAACAATCCTTGTGCCACTCACCACCAAACCACGTACACAGCCGCGGAAAGGTATAGGGAAACCAGATATAGCATTGTGAGGCAATTTCGATAGATCCTTAAGACCTCCAACATACAAAAGAGCATCTGGTTCTATTAACACTTCCGCCGAGGGAGCCAAAGCCGATGAGGCACTACCCTCCACCCACAACGTTAACCATCTACCACGTTGAGCCATTTTAATTTTATGCCATTCTCCTATAGCCAACATACGTACACTACGCACTACAGTTACATGATTACTGGGTCCCGATATACGGAATTCCACTACACCTCCTTGCAGAGACAATGAAACAAAGCCGATTTTCTTATCTAGATTATTGTTAAGAGTGCCAAAATACAATAGCAGGCCTCTTTCCGATAGCGGTCTTAATTGGAATTCTATAAAGAAGAATTGTACACGATGATGTTCTTCGAAAGATTTTGAACCCATTAGGGGTACGGGTGAAAAACTACGCTGTTTTTCCACTTCATTAAGTAGTTTCATAACAAAATGTTGATTCGTTGATGAGATGGGTTTGGGTGGCATTAGTTTTTTGGTGAAATTACGATAGCTTATCATTTGCGAACGTTTGGCACCTATTTTATCGGAATTATCGTAGAGATATGGCCATCTTACGGCCAAATAAGAACGTCTTCCGGTTAAGCTGACATCACTGAGGGCACGAATTTCTGTGGGGGATTAAAAAACAGTTTTTAGTTTAGAGAAAAAGTGATGTGAAAGATATTTGTGAAAAGTTATAATAACGTGCGAAGGAAAAACTTCAAGATTCATGGACGAAATGTTTTTTGAAAATCAATTAGAGTTGAAAATTTAGAGCCCCATATATTGAAGATCTATTATTTGGAACGTTAACACCAAATTATGTGATCATATGTTCTCCCTTTCAGTAAAATCCTTGACTTTTTTGTAATGTCATGTGTTTGTATTGATGAGGACTAAACCCACCAAATCTCTTTATGCAGAACATGATCGATAGCTGTGTTTCGAAAAAGATAATCTGATTTGATAACAAATAATCTGTAAAAGTATGTCGTGCTATACTTTTACAGATTATGGTTTCTTCTAGGTCTTCTTTCATCATCAGCTTGATGGACGGATTTTGGTCATTCAAATCTTCAATCTATAACGGCCAGGCAACGACTGCAATCTCCAGTATCTCTTTAGAAAAACTCGTGATTTGGGAGGTATGTCATAGATTCCCAAGAAACAATGATAGACATGTGACTGTTGCTAATAAGATCGAGGAATATGCAGTCGAACAAATATAATGATCAAATATGTTAATGAGAGTCCTCTGCTGTAAATTAATATCGCCTTTTACCAGTTTTAAAGAAAATCAAGTGACATGGTATCCAAAAGAGTCCAAGTCTCTAATGTTTCGTCATCTTATAGAGAGATGTTCAGCATTTAAGGTTCAAAGAAGATTTCATAAAAATAATAGTATTTAGAACATCTACCAGGTGATAGCGCATCCTAACAGAGTCCCAGTCCCAAATTGCTGAAAATCTCTTTGAGAGATTCCCTATAAAAAGCTGTATTTAGAACCTCTATAAATTCAACTATCAACCCGGATATTCGATAAAAAATGAACTAATTTGCGACACTTTTGATGTCTGAAGAAGCCGACTTTTAGAGAACTCATTGAACTTTAATTTTAAGCTTATGCTAGTGGTTTTCATAAATACTTGATGTCTGAAATTTAAGTTTCCTCTTACTCGATTCTTCGCCTTTCCATAAGGACTCTTTGAATGCCAATTTCCCCAAAATTGTTTCAAACTATTTTCGATTTGTGGCTTTTAGAAAGAGCACTACACTACAGGATGAAAGATATAGAGAACTGTTAAACAAGATCGGTCAAGAAATTTTAGAAAAATATTCTTACAGCAGCTAATGGATCTATCTTTTATATTACAAATGGGTCGGTCCAGTTATGATTAACTTGTACAAATTTACAAAATTTCCTTGATGAAAAGTAAAAGGACAACCAGTAATAAATATTTTTCGGAATTTTGACAAATGAACACAGTTTTAAGTCCATTGATCCATGTACCCATTGTATTGATTTAAAGAGTTGAAGGGGACTCCTTTAGGCATAAAATCAACAGTTCATTTGGATCTATGAATATTAATTATCAGTGATATGTAGAGCCCCTTTTAGACAGATAATTTAGAGTTTGAAAAGTTACGTTCTACACATACGAAAAAACAAGTTTTAACCCCTCATGGAACTAACATACCACATTATTGACATTTCCCACTCTTCGACGTTTCTCACTCCAACAGTTCATTTTCGGGCGTATTTTTTAATTAATAAACATTTACCAACTAAAATTAAATCTATTTGACATGAAAAAGTCCTTTAACAATTACAAAACACATGTCATAAAATAAATTGTATAACATTTTTCTGCACAAATATATTTCAATACCTTTTTGGTAACAAAATAAAGTACAAAACTTGCAACACTTTAACACCCGAAAACATTTATCATTGACCACAACATGTCAATAATTGGCTCTACACCACTGTTTAATATACATTTTTTTGTTTGTAATTTTGAAGGTAATTTTTGTTTTTCGTTATAATTTTTTGTTGTTGTTTTTCTGTGCGACCATAATTACTTACCTTCATCACAATTTTTACCCGTTCTACCGACAGGACAATCACATTCATATCCGTTGACAAGTGGCACACATGTAGAATCGTCCGAACATTTATTGTTAAATGAATCACAAGGATTTGTAGGCTGGGCGCATAATGGTCCATACCAACCCTCTTGACAAATGCAACTATTGTTGTCCATCATTGTTGTTATATTAATTGTCGTCCAATGAATGGGAAAGCATAAAAACAAAATGGAAAAATATGGATGTAAAAATATGTAGAATATAGCCCAGCATTTCATATACAATTGTCAACTATTAATTGTCTGAAATGGCATTGGACAGTTGGCGTGAGAGTGTGAGTGGAAGTGTGTTTTTCTGTGTGAATGAGATTGTGTGTGTGTGTTGCGTAACTTACGTAAATGTCGCTCCATGTTGAAGACAAGCGCCATCATGTTGACATGCATGTCGATGGCATTCTCTGGTGCCACATTGTCCCACTCCTCTACCGCGTACACCGCGCGTCTCCTGCAATGGCACCGTGACTTGACCAGCCTTAAGATGAACATCGTAAATACAACCTTGAAAGCCAGAATGTAATGGCAAATCGTGGGGTAATGTATTGAAATTGGCCATCTCATGACCACCCAAATATAAGATAGGCATAACATCCATACGACTGACACTGCCTGGGGAACGACCGGTGATATTAAATTTGCCATCAACCGACAGCCAGGCTTGGCGACCAATGCGACCCACTTTAATTTCATATGGCACACGTGGAGCATCCAAACGAAAATCAATAGGCTTTTGTGTAAATATTCTACGAGGGCCGGCACCCAAATTCCAAGTCAACATTATATAACCCTGTATGAAACTAATGGCTAAATGATCGCTCTTTTCATCATGATAGCCCGGTTGACCCAAGAAAGCCAACAAAGCTATTTGTGACATGGTTTGTGGTAAAATCTTGAAACTCAATTCCATGGAGTATTCCAAAGGTATGGGCACGGTGTAGGCCACAAAGGATGACAAACCATTGACACTGCCCGAAAATGAGGGCAAAGCCACCTCCAAATCTGAAAAATTTGCAGTTGCATCAAGGAATATAGATAAAGGAGGAAGGAATGCTTTTGTTACATAGATAGAGAGGTATAAGTTGTGGATTTAGTTTTTTTTGTTTAGTTGGGAAATAATTGGGATAAAAACACAAAATAATATTAGTTAAAAGTCTTAACCACAAAAAGTGATGACCATTTGTTTAAACAGAAAAACTAAAATAAATTATAATAATAAAACTTACCAAAAAATTAGAAAATTAAAAAATCGAAAACAAAACTCAAATTTTATGTTATGGCAATGAGGATTTCTTGACTCTCTATTCCTTTAAATGGGCATGGGTTCCTTTAAACACTCTTTAGTTTTTAGATTTAAACTTACTGTGTTCACAATAGTGACCATGCTTGCCCAATGGACACAGACATAAATAACCACTGCCTGGAAATTGTACACATGTTCCTCCATACTGACAGGGATTATCTTCACACACTGATATCTCGCATGTTGGTCCCATATAGCCTGTGGGACACTTACATTTCCATTTCTCTAACTTGTCACCGTTTTCATCTATCTCGTTTGTTTCGATTTTTATACAGGCCGCTCCGTTGCGACAGGGACTCGAGAGACAGGCCAATGAACCGCATTCGGTTATGCCAAAACCATCCAAGGCGTCACTGGAAAAGAAAGAGAAAATTTTTGGAATTGAACAAAGTTTGAGATTTTAACGAAAATAGAATTAAATTATAACTGATTTGGAACAGAACTAGAACTGAACTGAACTAGAACTGAACTAGAACTGAACTAGAACTGAACTAGAACTGAACTAGAACTGAACTAGAACTGAACTAGAACTGAACTAGAACTGAACTAGAACTGAACTAGAACTGAACTAGAACTGAACTAGAACTGAACTAGAACTGAACTAGAACTGAACTAGAATGAACTAGAACTGAACTAGAACTGAACTAGAACTGAACTAGAACTGAACTAGAACTGAACTAGAACTGAACTAGAAACTGAACTAGAACTGAACTAGAACTGAACTAGAACTGAACTAGAACTGAACTAGAACTGAACTAAACTGAACTAGAACTGAACTAGAACTGAACTAGAACTGAACTAGAACTGAACTAGAACTGAACTAGAACTGAACTAGAACTGAACTAGAACTGAACTAGAACTGAACTAGAACTGAACTAGAACTGAACTAGAACTGAACTAGAACTGAACTAGAACTGAACTAGAACTGAACTAGAACTGAACTAGAACTGAACTAGAACTGAACTAGAACTGAACTAGAACTGAACTAGAACTGAACTAGAACTGAACTAGAACTGAACTAGAACTGAACTAGAACTGAACTAGAACTGAACTAGAACTGAACTAGAACTGAACTAGAACTGAACTAGAATGAACTAGAACTGAACTAGAACTGAACTAGAACTGAACTAGAACTGAACTAGAACTGAACTAGAACTGAACTAGAACTGAACTAGAACTGAACTAGAACTGAACTAACTGAAAGAACTGAACTAGAACTGAACTAGAACTGAACTAGAACTGAACTAGAACTGAACTAGAACTGAACTAGAACTGAACTAGAACTGAACTAGAACTGAACTAGAACTGAACTAGAACTGAACTAGAACTGAACTAGAACTGAACTAGAACTGAACTAGAACTGAACTAGAACTGAACTAGAACTGAACTAGAACTGAACTAGAACTGAACTAGAACTGAACTAGAACTGAACTAGAACTGAACTAGAACTGAACTAGAACTGAACTAGAACTGAACTAGAACTGAACTAGAACTGAACTAGAACTGAACTAGAACTGAACTAGAACTGAACTAGAACTGAACTAGAACTGAACTAGAACTGAACTAGAACTGAACTAGAACTGAACTAGAACTGAACTAGAACTGAACTAGAACTGAACTAGAACTGAACTAGAACTGAACTAGAACTGAACTAGAACTGAACTAGAACTGAACTAGAACTGAACTAGAACTGAACTAGAACTGAACTAGAACTGAACTAGAACTGAACTAGAACTGAACTAGAACTGAACTAGAACTGAACTAGAACTGAACTAGAACTGAACTAGAACTGAACTAGAACGAACTGAACTGAACGATGAACTGAAACGAACTGAACTAGAACTGAACTAGAACTGAACTAGAACTGAACTAAAACTAGAACTGAACTAGAACTGAACTAGAACTGAACTAGAACTGAACTAGAACTGAACTAGAACTGAACTAGAACTGAATGAACTGAACTAGAACTGAAACTAGAGCTGAACTAGAGCTGAACTAGAACTAGAACTGAACTAGAACTGAACTAGAACTGAACTAGAACTGAATTAGAACTAGAAGTGTTTTTTAAAGCTTTAGATAAGTGAACAACCCTCGTATAGCCTTATAGATTAAATTAAACAAAAAGAAAATGGAAGTGGTTTAAAAAACGTCTAAAAAAAATTATAAAAAATTTAATGATCACAGGCTTTTTAATCGGCTTTTGATGAAAACTTTAACCGATTGGGAATTTTTTTTTGCTATTTTCTTAATTCATATTTTTAAAGGGTAGTTTTTACACAAACATACTTAGTTCGTTTTTTAACATATTTACTTTTTTGCAGTATTTAAGTTTTATCCATTTTAATTTAACCAAATCTTGTACGAATTATTTTACATTTTGTATTATAAGCACAAAGAAATCACTTACATTGATTTTACATTTATTCTCATATCACATTTTTATACCGAAAACTACCATAGTGGAGAGGGTATTATGCATTTGTGTTAAAGTTTGTAATATTTGGTAATACTTGTATGTAGGTCCATCAAACAGTCGAACAACAAATATTCGATTCTATTAAGTCGCTTTCCGAAAATTATATGAAAACTATTCGTTTGGCATATAATTATTATAGAATTATCGTTATAGGGTATTATATCAGATAAGGTATTCCAACTATACTTTTGTACTTGTTTAAATTTCTATTTTTATAAGAGTAAATTTCAAGGCAAAAAATAGTAAAGCCATAAGATAAAATATAAAAATCTCTACTACTAATATAGCATTTAGTATAAATTTGAATGAAAACAATTGGATTTATCCAAGCAAAAAATTACAGTTACAAAATTAAAAAAAGAAAAAGGTAGTAAGTTGTATATATATATATGTTCTTTGTATAGAGCAACTAATGCTGTACATGGTCCTATGGCACGACTTTTCACTTAAGTAAAACTAAGTTTTAAAATTAAACAACAACATTTACTTAGTTGCTCAATTTGCTCAACCATGACCAAGTTTCATCTGACGCAACAGCAATTGGTTTTTACTTATACGTAACAAAAATGACTTAAGTTAGAAGTCTTGAATTGTTTTTTTAATAAATTTTTTGTTGGGATGTAATTTTTTACCAATACACAAGAAAAAAATAGTTCACAAAATATATGTTGCACATACTATATTCATTTTACACAAACTCATATTTGTAACAACTACAATTACAACCATATATAGTATTGTTGCATTTATATCCAAGTATCGATGAATTGCAAAAAAAAAAAAAAAAAGAAAACATATTGAAATTTTTGCAAAGGAAATGTATTGAAAAATGGACATACAAATGACATTTTTATAGCATAATAGAAAAAATTTCTTGTTTTTCTGAATGAAAAATATAACAATGATTGACTTTGGGGAAAAAAAAGAAATGTTGAAAATTTTTGTAGAGATTTAGAATATTTTAGTAATTAAGACAAATATTTGTAAAAAAAATAAAAAATTGTTAAAGTGAAATTATTTCTTTCAGTTAGAAAATCTAATGGATTTATAATATTTAAGAATAATGTTTGTTTGTTTGTATGTATGTATTGTTATAAATAATATATTTTTGTTTTCTTTTCCTTTGCAGCTTAAAAGGGGGTTACTAATGGTGAGTGTAGTTTTTTTTTTAATATTTTAATTAATTTAAAAATATTGTATAAGTTAATTACAGTATGATGATGGTTTTATAAAGCCCTTTTAAATAGATTTTACCATGTAGGTCCGTCTGTCATTCTCTATGATGTATGAATCCATCTAGTCTATCTCGTTGTGAAATTCTTGTCATTATTTTATAACTATTTGAATCCTACTCCTTACAAGAGTAGGATATTATACGGTCGGGTATGACTGTATTTGAGGCTTATCATTGAAATATCCTGTAATCAATAGAATTTTATTTTCCATTACAAAGTTCAATATCATTAAAAGAAATTAAGTCAGAAGAAAGTATAGACGTTTACCGTCGATCATATCACACCCTAGACCAGTTATGAGAAAATTATTTTTGTTTAATAATAAAGCATTTATGTAAGACAGATATATGATAGATAGATAGATAGATAGATAGATAGATAGATAGATAGATAGATAGATAGATAGATAGATAGATAGATAGATAGATAGATAGATAGATAGATAGATAGATAGATAGATAGATAGATAGATAGATAGAAAAATAGATAGATAGATAGATAGATAGATAGATAGATAGATAGATAGATAGATAGATAGATAGATAGATAGATAGATAGATAGATAGATAGATAGATAGATAGATAGATAGATAGATATAGATAGATAGGTAGATAGATAGATAGAGATAGATAGATAGATAGATAGATAGATAGATAGATAGAGAGATAGATAGATAGATAGATAGATAGATAGATAGATAGAGATAGATAGATAGATAGATAGATAGATAGATAGATAGATAGATAGATAGATAGATAGATAGATAGATAGATAGATAGGTAGATAGATAGATAGATAGTAGATAGATAGAGATAGATAGATAGATAGATAGATGATAGATAGATAGATAGATAGATAGATAGATAGATAGATAGATAGATAGATAGATAGATAGATAGATAGATAGATAGATAGATAGATAGATAGATAGATAGATAGATAGATAGATAGATAGATAGATAGATAGATAGATAGAGATAGATAGATAGATAGATAGATAGCTGATAGATAGATAGATAGATAGATAGATAGATAGATAGATAGATAGATAGATAGATAGATAGATAGATAGATAGATAGATAGATAGATAGATAGATAGATAGATAGATAGATAGATAGTTAGATAGACAAACAGACAGAGAAGAATGTCAAAGTGTTTTACCTGCAATAACGGCTTAATCTCACGATGTTATTTAATCCACTGGATGGACTTTAAACGGTCCAAACACACGACACGATTGACTTTAATGAACAACACTCATCATGTACAAGCACTTTGCCAAAGATTACCAAGTGATCACGTTACGGAATGACAGTCAGAACGAGACCAATCACATTACATACTCTGACAAGAAAGAATTGCCAACCAGATCAATGGATGGACTTTAAACGGTCCAACACTCTACACGATTGACTTTAATGAATAACACTCATCATGTACAAGCACTTTGCCAAAGATTACCAAGTGATCACGTTGCGGAATGACAGTCAGAGCGAGACCAATCACTTTACATACTCTGACAAGAAACAATTGCTAACCAGATCAATAGAGAGATGTTTCTACAAACCCCTATAACACACCTATTGTATCACTATATCTCGGACATGACATTCGGATAGACGGATAAACGGGGAATGTTGTAGCATCTTCATACTCCAATTATCCGTTCAAGTACATTTCTCACTCAAGTTGTACCAGATTGTGTGGTTTTCTGGTTCGACCCCAAATCAAATCTTTCCAAGGAAAGGCTGAGAATATATTTCACACCACCAGTTTATAGTTCCGGCACGCTAAAGGTATTAGAAGCAACTCAAAAACCAAGCTGAAGATAGGTTCACCAAGGTAACATGCCCTGGGGGGAGACAGACAGACAGGCAGACAGATAAAGGCAGATATACAGACGGACAGGCGAATGTATACGTCCATCTTAAAGTATCTGCTCATCATTTCTGAATGACATTAACTATGGACTGTAGGGTACAAAAATCTGACTTATCATAAATACCTTTCATAATCAAATGCATTTCAAACCATTTTTGTGGAAAGCTAAATAAACTAACTTTAAAAAACGAAATTCTTTGAATACCACATTACTCTGTCAATACAGTTTTTTTTTGCAAATGATTAAAAAAGACCCATTTAAAATTGAAGGGTACGAAAGTCATTTATCTTTTAAGCAATTCGTTTTTTAGCTCTTTTCATTTTAACTTGCTTTTTAAACCAACCACTTTTTGTATCCCCACATTTTTCCTCTATTATTTTGTTGGCTGCAAGTTACTTAATGAGCAGAAAAAAATCAGGTCAACATGTTTTAAAAGAAAAAAAAAAAAAAAAAATGAATAAAAAAATAGAAACACAGACATATAAGCTTCAAATGGAATTGGGAACATTTCATTAAAATAAAGGACCAAAAAAGAACATAAAAAAACGTACTGTATGCCAAATTTTCACTGACAGTTGCATACCAAACCTGCATGGCATGTAAGAAGCACTTTGTTCGGTCAAGCCAACCTTGTGTGTGGTTGTTGGCTTGATGAACGGTCAAGTTATAGTTGTATTACAGTAAAGCCTCTATAATTAGCACTAGCTTAAATAACTTTAGGGCTTATTCAGCTAAAAACTTTAGAAATCCATTTGTTCTTTTGTTATTAATTTAGTTAAGGTAATTATCGAGACTTTACTGTACTGTAAGTAAGACTAAAATGTTTTTGCTAGCCTTGCACAATTACTATACTCTCTATTATATAGTAATTCTATGCTTTTTTCCTTTTCTTCTCCCCCTCCCTTTAACCATTTTTTCCAGTAACCCGTCTAAAAAAATATACAGGACATTAAGCCAGTTTTTAGGGCTGTATTTTATTGTTTTTGCTGTTGTTGTAGCTTTTGTTTGTGAGTTATGTTGGTAAAAAGGAATTAATTTTTTTTGCCCGTTACGTTATGTCATGGGCAAGTTGAAAGCGCAAGCAAAAAAAGCATTTCAGCCAAAAAAATGGTATCTTATATTTTGTACATAGAATTTTTTTTGGAAAAAAATACAAGTCAAAAGGTTTGGGGGAATGATGTGTAACCGACTGACACAAATGCCAGTTAAAAGCGGTCATATAGAAGAAGTAAATAAAATTTGACTTATTACTTGTTTTTTCCATTTTAAAGGAGGATTAAGGATAATTCATACTATATAGTCCAACCTAAAGACTGGCATGTAGTCTAGACTATAGGCTGAACTATAGTCCAGACCGATCTATAGTCTAGATTATAAACTATAGTCTGGTTTATATACTAAACTATAGTCTGGTTTATATACTATGGACTGAAATATAGTCTAGACTATAACTGAAATATAGTCTAGACTATAACTGAACTATAGTCCAGACTGTAGACTGGTTGAAGTCTAGACTATAAACGGATCTATAGTTCAGACTAAATACTGATCTACAGTCCAGGCCATAAACAGATCTATTGTCCAGAGTATAAACTATGATTGATCTTAAGTCCAGACTATATACTAATCTATAGTCCGGAGGGTGGACTGATTTATAGTCAAAACTATAGACTATACCTAAGTCCAATCTATAGACTTATCTATATTCCAGACTGTAGAAAGAACTATAATCATCGTACAGGCTATGGTTGTTAGTAATCCAAACAATATAAATACGGGAGTCTATAATCCAGTTAACTATAATTGATCTTAAGTCCAGACTATATACTAATCTATAGTGCAGAGGGTGGACTGATTTATAGTCAAAACTATAGACTATACGTCAGTCCAATTTATAGAATTATCTATATTCCAGATTGTAGATTGATCTATAGTCCAGACTGTAGAAAGACCTATATATATATACAGGCTATGGTTGTCAGTAATCCAAATAATATAAATACGGGAGTCTATAATACAGTTAACCATTTTTATCGTTTTAACTGTCAGACACAATAAAGCCCCACAAATAAACCTTTCTAAGAAATTTTGACAATGCAAAACCAATTTTACTTTTCAAGGATCTATTATAGCTCTGATGTTTAGTCATCCTAAAATGCATGTAAACATGCATGACATTTTATTTCCCTTTTAAGCACTCATATGTTTGTGATGCATAAATTTGCATGTTCTTAATTGGATTTGACTTTGACATTAACATTTGACAATAATATTGTAATGACACTTGTAGTATGGCTTGAAAACAACTTTGCCATTTTGTTGTTACTAACGTGAATATGTTAAAAAAAAAAAATTGGCTTAAAAATAAAATAAACAAAAATCGTCATAACAAAAGGTATTTAAAAAATCATTATTCACTTAATTCCCTGCCCTGCTGAACACGTGATGTTTTTACAGTGGGGGTTAAACATTGAGATATATTGAAATAAAAAATATTTAAACATTTACTATATTTATTATATTGAAAATGAATGAATTTCACTCAAGTACGCAAAATGTTTAAAATCTTCAACATCAATATTATTATTTCTATAATTATATCCACGACTGTGGACTTTTTTCAGCCTTTCGCTCAATTGATTAACGTTGAATTCGTATGTGTTTGGGAAAAACCGTTTGTTATATTTTTATTATGAATTTTTTAGTAGTCCGTTTCACATATATGATTCATTCACAACTGTATACCCTACATGGTACTGAACTATAACTGAGCTAAACTGAACTAATGACTAACTGAACTAGAACTGAACTAGAACTGAACTAGAACTGAACTAGAACTGAACTAGAACTGAACTAGAACTAGAACTGAACTAGAACTGAACTAGAACTGAACTGACTAGAACTGAACTAGAACTGAACTAGAACTGAACTAGAACTGAACTAGAACTGAACTAGAACTGAACTAGAACTGAAATAGAACTGAACTAGAACTGAACCAGAACTGAACTAGAACTGAACTAGAACTGAACTAGAACTGAACTAGAACTGAACTACTAGAACTGAACTACAACTGAACTAGAACTGAACTAGAACTGAACTAGAACTGAACTAGAACTGAACTAGAACTGAACTAGAACTGAACTAGAACTGAACTAGAACTGAACTAGAACTGAACTAGAACTGAACTAGAACTGAACTAGAACTGAACTAGAACTGAACTAGAACTGAACTAGAACTGAACTAGAACTGAACTAGAACTGAACTAGAACTGAACTAGAACTGAACTAGAACTGAACTAGAACTGAACTAGAACTGAACTAGAACTGAACTAGAACTGAACTAGAACTGAACTAGAACTGAACTAAGAACTGAACTAGAACTGAACTAGACTGAACTAGAACTGAACTAGAACTGAACTAGAACTGAACTAGAACTGAACTAGAACTGAACTAGAACTGGAACTAGAACTGAACTAGAACTGAACTAGAACTGAACTAGAACTGCGACTAGAAACTGAACTAGAACTGAACTAGAACTGAACTAGAACTGAACTAGAACTGAACTAGAACTGAACTAGAACTGAACTAGAACTGAACTAGAACTGAACTAGAACTGAACTAGAACTGAACCTAGAACTGAACTAGAACTGAACTAGAACTGAACTAGAACTGAACTAGAACTGAACTAGAACTGAACTAGAACTGAACTAGAACAACTAGAATGAACTAGAACAGACTAAAACAGAACTAGAACTGAACTAGAACTGAACTAGAACGAACTAGACTGAACTAACTGAACTAGAATGGACTAGAAACTGAACTAGAACTGAACTAGAACTGAACTGAACTGAACTAGAACTGAACTAGAACTGAACTAGAACTGAACTAGAACTGAACTAGAACGAACTAGACTGAACTAGAACTGAACTAGAACTGAACTAGAACTGAACTAGAACTGAAGTAAAATTTAGTGCTCTAGTCAGCCGGGTTTTAAGTTTTTCATATATTCGATGTATATAAATATGTAGGTATTTCCGTTTTTATTTCAGAATTTAACAAATTTGATTTTCAAGTGCAGTTGTTTTGTAAATTCAGCAATAGTTTTTATTTTTAATTCTGCATGTTTGATTTTTTTATTTGTTTGGTTGTTTTGTTTTTATTTTCTGTTTATTTGTTCATTGAAGTGGCATGCAGCAACAAAGTTTTTTACAGTACTTTTGTGCATTTATTTTTAATGAGTCTATCATTATTTCAATTGCATTAATTAAGCAATAAAACAATTCGTTTGTAATTGTTGTTGGTTTTTGTTAATTTTTGCTGGCTTAAGGATTTTATCGAAAAGCAAAAACAACAAACTGAATTAAAAAGGCAATAACTTTAATGTTTAAATTTAAATCAAGGATTAAGTAGAGAAAATATTTTTGTATAAATTTTAAAAATTAAACTATAAGAACTTGAGCTGTTATAATATTATTAAATATTTATTATTTACTTACCCAAATATTTCCCTTGATTCTTCATTAATACGCAAAGAGTGCAGGCAACCAGTAAAGCCGGTACCACTTTGTGAGGGTGGTAATTCAATAATTAGACCAATTGGGGCCTGAGGTGCACCACCCAAATGTAGCCATGTATTAAGTATAGTGTCCGGAGTATGTAGACGTGGTGGCAATAATTTCAACCATGTAGGCTGATCACCCGACATGGCCAGAGTGTCGTTAACTAATAGAGAAGCATTACAATGGGTGTAATTACGACTGAAGTCCAATCTAAAAGTATAAAACAGAAGAAAAAAAACACAAATTTAATTATATTTTCAAAGATTAATTTAACTAGTACCAGAGTGTTTACAACAAGTTAGTGTTAATCTTAAGGCTAGGAGGGCTGGTTAAAAAGTATCTTAACTTTATAAAATGTGTAAGCTTTTGCTTTTAACAAACAAAAACTTTTCGTTTAGATCTCCTAAATATGAGAGTGTGTGATATGTTTTGTTATAAATATTCTTGTACATAAAATGTTAACACTTTTCACCATCAACTTGATGGCTTGGAATGCCAAACCATAACATAACATGTCAAGTCAAGCCATTTACTCCTCTACGAATGTTTAGAACATCTGCATGTGTATGTTGTAGATATAGGATGGTGTGGCTAGCCAACCTTTAGGCCATATTAACACGTTTAAGTTGTTAACTTGCAAATAAAGCCCCTTTAAACAAATTCCCAAAATAACAACATAAATACCCAACACTCATACGTACGAGTGTTTATGTTTATTTTATCTCAAATAGACATTCTTTCATGTTGACCCAGCAGTTTTCCAAAGGAGTCAGTGTATTCTGTTTCTTGCAAATGTCTTACTGCTAAGTGGACTTACAGTTATATATTAGAATTTTGACTCTCCACTTTACTGTCACCAAGTAAACTAATGAAGAGTCGATCATTACAATTCTATATCAGAGTAATCTAGAGAGTGGTCATTTTAAACTTTGTGTTCTCTACTCTCAATTCTAATCGAATTGAAAATTTGGGTTGGAGACTGTCACCCCGAACTGCAGCGATGTAACGCTCAACTATTACTCATACAAATTTAAATGTCGTAAATGTGTGTGTGTGTGCGTGTAGATGAGGATATAAAAGTACTATGAATTTGTTTGTTTATAAGTTTTACTCTCACATCATTTGTAGTTTAGTTGCTGGTATGTTAAGTGTCAAAATCATAAAAACTAAAACTTAAACCCTAAAAAATGAAAGGTCTCACTTTTCCATTACAAAGTTTTTCGTTTTCTTTTCCTTTTTTTGTTTAAAAGGTAAACAACTATATAGAAAATAAGTATTTTGCTTGTTGTTGTAGTTGCATGTTTACACCATTTCCGGTTAAAATGAATAGCAATTGGAGAACTAACTCTAAAAGCTAAGTTTTAAAAAATTTACTATAAAAACAAAGTTTTGGTAAATATACTATAAAAAGCCAAGTTTTGGAAAATTTACTATAAAAAGCCTAGTTTTAGAAAATCCTCCATAAAATGCCAAATTTTGAAAATTTACTATAAAAAGCTAAGTTATGGAAAATTTACTGAAAATAGCCAAGTTTTGGAAAATTTTGTATAAAAAGCCAAGTTTTGGAAAATTTGCTATAAATGCCAAGTTTGGGAAATTTTACTATAAAAAGCCAAAATTTTAAACATTTACTATAAAAAGCCAAGTTTTGGAAAATTTACTATAAAAAGCCTAGTTTTAGAAAATCTCCCATGAAATGCCAAATTTTGAAAATTTACTATAAAAAGCTTAGTTTGGAAAATTTACTATAAATAGCCAAGTTCTGAAAACTTACTATAAAAAGCCAAGTTATGGAAAATTTACTATATTTACTATAAAATGCCAAGTTTTGGAAAATTTAGTATAAAAAGCCAAAATTTTAAACATTTACTATAAAAAGCCAAGTTTTGAAAAATTTGCTATAAAAAGCCAAGTGTTGGAAAATTTACTATAAAAAGCCAAGTTATGGAAAATCTTCCATAAAATGCCAAATTTTGAAAATATACTATAAAAAGTTAAGTTTTGGAAAATTTACTATAAAAAGCTATGTTATGGAAAATTTACTATAAATAGCCAAGTTCGGAAAATTTACTATAAAAAGTCAAGTTATGGAAAATTTACTATAAAATAGCAAGTTTTGGAAAATTTTGTATAAAAAGCCAAGTTTGGGAAATTTTGGTATAAAAAGCCAAAATTTGAAACATTTACTATAAAAAGCCAAGTTTTGGAAAATTTGCTACAAAAAGCCAAGTTTTGGAAAATTTACTATAAAAAGCCAAGTTATGAAAAATCTTCCATAAATGCCAAATTTTGAAAATATACTATAAAAAATTAAGTTTTGGAAAATTTACTATAAATAGCCAAGTTTGCAAAATTTACTATAAAAAGCCAAGTTTTTGAAAATTTGGTATAAAAAGCCAAGTTTGGGAAATTTTACTATAAAAAGCCAAAATTTGAAACTTTTACTATAAAAAGCCAAGTTTTGGAAAATTTGCTATAAAAAGCCAAAATTCTAAACATTTACTATAAAAAGCCAAGTTTTGGAAAATTTGCTATAAAAAGCCAATTTTTGGAAAATTTACTATAAAAAGCCTAGTTTTAAAAAATCTTCCATAAAATGACAAATTTTGAAAATTTACTATAAAAAGCCATGTTATGGAAAATTTACTATAAAAATTAAGTTTTTGAAAATTTACTATAAAAGCCATGTTCTAGAAAATTTACTATAACAAATAATTTATTTTTAAAATTTTAGAAAATTTCCTAGAAAAAGTTAAACTTTGGAAAATTTACTATAAAAGGAAATTTTTTAAAACTTAACAAAAATTGCTAATATTATTAATAATTTCTTTTTCATGGTAATCGGTGCTTTATAATTTTCATTACTATTACAGTTGCCCCCAACAGAAACAAATACAAAAATTTTCTAATATTTTGTTGTCATTTTGGGCTTTTTGTTGTGTCATTTTATATTTTAGAATAAACTAGGAAGCGTTCACCCAAACCTAAACATAGTTATAAACAAATACAAACATAAACACACATGCACATACATATATATAATTTGTGTTTATTGGGACATATTTGTATTGGTACTAAAACACTCTTACATGGTGAATAACTTTAACATCCCTTTCCCCAGAAATACAACCCAGTTGATTTACTAGAGATCTTAAACATTAGATAAGTATTAAAAAGGAAACAGAGGTTTTCCTTAAATAATGTTCGTTAGTATTGGATTGGTAAAAGTTTTGGGGAAGGAGAAGGACATGGTTGGCCGAAAATTTGTTTTAAAGTTTATGGCAAGGATTTTGTTTGTTTGGCGTTTTGTGGATTCTTTGTAGCAGAGAAGTAAAATGCTATCTTTATCCATAGTAAATTTCTCTGAAATTTGCTATCTTTATCTATAGTAAATTTCTCTGAAATTTACTATCTTTATTTATAGTAAATTTCTCTAAAATTTATGGTAAATTCCTGTGAAATTTCTCTGAAATTATCTATAGTAAATTTCTCTGAAATTTACTATCTTTATCTATAGTAAATTTCTCTGAAATTTAGTATCTTTATCTATAGTAAATTTCTCTGAAATTTCTCTGAAATTTACTATCTTTATCTATAGTAAATTTCTCTGAAATTTACTATCTTTATCTATAGTAAATTTCTCTGAAATTTACTTTCTTTATCTATAGTAAATTTCTCTGAAATTTACTTTCTTTATCTATAGTAAATTTCTCTGAAATTTACTATCTTTATCTATAGTAAATTTCTCTGAAATTTACTATAGATAAATTTCTCTGAAATTTACTATCTTTATCAATAGTAAATTTCTCTGAAATTTACTATCTTTATCTATAGTAAATTTCTCTGAAATTTACTATCTTTATCTATAGTAAATTTCTCTGAAATTTACTATCTTTATCTACTATCTTTATCTATAGTAAATTTCTCTGAAATTTACTATCTTTATCTATAGTAAATTTCTCTAAAATTTGCTATCTTTATCTATAGTAAATTTCTCTAAAATTTGCTATCTTTATCTATAGTAAATTTCTCTGAAATTTGCTCTCTTTATCTATAGTAAATTTCTCTGAAATTTGCTATCTTTATCTATAGTAAATTTCTTTGAAATTTGCTATCTTTATCTATAGTAAATTTCTCTGAAATTTGCTATCTTTATCTATAGTAAATTTCTCTGAAATTTGCTATCTTTATCTATAGTAAATTTCTCTGAAATTTGCTATTTTTATCTATAGTAAATTTCTCTGAAATTTGCTATCTTTATCTATAGTAAATTTCTCTGAAATTTGCTATCTTTATCTATAGTAAATTTCTCTGAAATTTGCTATCTTTATCTATAGTAAATTTCTCTGGAATTTGCTCTCTTTATCTATAGTAAATTTCTCTGAAATTTGCTCTCTTTATCTATAGTAAATTTCTCTGAAATTTGCTCTCTTTATCTATAGTAAATTTCTCTGAAATTTTCTATCTTTATCTATAGTAAATTTCTCTGAAATTTTCTATCTTTATCTATAGCAAATTTCTCTGAAATTTTCTATCTTTATCTATAGTAAATTTCTCTGAAATTTACTATCTTTATCTATAGTAAATTTCTCTGAAATTTACTATCTTTATCTATAGTAAATTTCTCTGAAATTTACTATCTTTATCTACAGTAAATTTCTCTGAAATTTACTATCTTTATCTATAGCAAATTTCTCTGAAATTTACTATCTTTATCTATAGTAAATTTCTCTGAAATTTACTATCTTTATCTATAGTAAATTTCTCTGAAATTTACTATCTTTATCTATAGTAAATTTCTCTGAAATTTACTATCTTTATCTATAGTAAATTTCTCTGAAATTTACTATCTTTATCTATAGTAAATTTCTCTGAAATTTACTATCTTTATCTATAGTAAATTTCTCTGAAATTTACTATCTTTATCTATAGTAAATTTCTCTGAAATTTACTATCTTATCTATAGTAAATTTCTCTGAAATTTACTATCTTTATCTATAGTAAATTTCTCTGAAATTTACTATCTTTATCTATAGTAAATTTCTCTGAAATTTACTATCTTTATCTATAGTAAATTTCTCTGAAATTTACTATCTTTATCTATAGTAAATTTCTCTGAAATTTACTATCTTTATCTATAGTAAATTTCTCCGAAAATTTACTATCTTTATCTATAGTAAATTTCTCTGAAATTTGCTCTCTTTATCTAT